TTCTCTCTTCTATTCCATAGCTTCTGAATCCTAGCCCTTCGTGTTCAAATAAAGGATAAACATCTGCACAACATTACACAAAATACTACACTATCATATGTATTATCTGCACAGCTGGTCCTTTGAATTGAAGGAAAGAAGCTATTTGCACTTTTCGATAGCTACTGGAAATTGGGAAAGCGTGTAAATGTATCCAGGAGGCACAGATGTCAGGCAAATGTATTTGTTTAGCTGACTCAAGGAAGTGAATCATCGGAAAGTCAAGTTCCCTACTCCATGAATTTGATACATGCATGTATGAAAATGTAGCCATATGAAATTATATTTTGTGGTCTCTCATTTTCAGACCTCGTATTTGGCATTTTTGAAAACAGACATTATCACAGAGGGGGAAACAGAGAGTATGATTCTGGTAGGATAGCCATAAAGTATGCCATAAGCCATAACCGTAACAGGAATCTGTTTACTGAGGTCATAAATCAAGTGGGAAGTCAATTTCTAATAGACTTCTGTAAAATCGGGCTTTTTTTGCATCAATTTTGCAAAAAGTAACACATTATGTTACTCGTTTATTCCCAGGAGAAAGTAATTTGTTACACTACTTGTTATATTACTTTTGCATTACTCTACAACATTGGCCTGGGGTGCAATGTCACATAACTACCAATTAAAACCTAAACCTTAGGCTGTAGTCTTGCACACCAACATAAATCTCTATCCAAATGAGGACACACAGTATCTTTATTTTACTGTTCCATAGTTGGAAACCAGGGCAAAGAGTGCTTCATTGATTAGACTTTAAGGTAGAATGAAAATGAAAATGATATTCATAAGTGTGTATGGTAAAAAAATACAAGTTAGATTTTTTTCTCATGTATCCAACCATCATGCAGATAACTGCCACACTTTTGAAATGCAAGTAATGATAGATCACAAAAAACACACCATCTGTAAAGTGATTATTGAATTTAGTAATGTTTTATAGCATTGCATTACAAAAAAATGCAATGTGATATCAGCTGTGGTAGAAAGTAATATTACAAATTCCAAGTTTAAGGCATTTCCAAATCAACTTCATTTCTTAGACTAGGAGGACAAGGAGGTCTTTTTTTTTTAAAGCAACCATAACAAGTAGGTTGAAAAATCTTAACAGACAAATCTGATTACTTGCAAATAACAAACAGACAATCTCTCCTAATGACTGCATTTTACTCCAACAATGCTGAGTAAGGCCTTTAGTGGAAGAAGTTAGCTTTCCTAGTCCACTGCTTTTGTCAGCTACAAAAAAGTACTGTGCATTAAACAATTGATTTATTAAACACGTGACCATTTATGATGGGATATATCAACCACAATGCTATGAACATACCCATCCGGTGGCTGATTTTATACAGTCATAATTGTATCAAGACAACGTCTTGTACCACAAGGCCTTCAAGAGTATAGAGAAAATGTTACAGTAATTACACAAGTAATAGCTTTTTTGAAAATCATCCTTTTTTTTTTTTACGCCGTTTACTTTGTGGTTGAAACACAAATATCCACAAGTTACAAAACAACCAGAGAAATTAGACTCTTTTCACCTTTCCCAGTGGGATACTCTTGAGTGCTGAGGTCATTTGTAAGGTTTCAATTTGGTACCAAGCTGGTCTGAAAGTGGCTGAATGTGGTTATTGAAGCCATTTAGCCACTTGTTCACTGTTATGTTGAGGAGATGAATGTTTCCAAATATCAGGAAACTTTAGTCAGTACTAGAGCTTTATCCTAGCAGTAATTCTTAGGGGACGGCCTCCATTTCCTGCCTAAATGTTCAAACGCTATGGGATGCATGTGACCTTGAAGGTTCTAATTTCCAGTGATCCATTAGTTTTTAACTGCTTGATGCTCTACTCTCATATGAATGAGCCACAGAGTAATTGTGGACTTGAAGTAGTTATAGAAGCAGTCCCACTTATCATCTGAACAAGAGGGCCAAACCTAGGGGATCAAATATTTATATTAAGACGTATTACTGAACTAGTATTTCACACGCTTCCATTATCCACTTCACTTTATTAGTATGAATACCCACTGATCCAGACAGCTTGCTAATGAGTTACCAATAAATAAAACATAAAGGTAAAGAATGCAGACAGCGTGGCACACATCAGTTATTGTCTGATTGAACGTTAAATTAGGCAAGATGGAGATTGAGCTCTGAATGCAGGATAAGGTTACAATTAAGGTAGTGTCTAGAGATTAGAGTGAAATAATCAAATCAGTCACTTTTTGAGGAGAAAGGTTAGAGTTGGCTTGTAAAGGTACAAGGTAAACAAATAAACCTGTGGGACAGTATTTGAAAGACACAGATCACTGTGCATGCAAATGTCATTAATGTCAGTCGTGTTGCAATTGTAGGTTTGTTTTAGAGACATGGTTAGATATATAGTATGACATTTTTAGGTGCGGCCTTGTGTAGTGTGGCTCTGTGACAAAGTGGAGGAGCAGTTGCAATGCTCTCCATTTGTCCCATATGGGTTTACCTTTTTTTTGCACATTGTACACATTATTCTGTTTCTATGTATTTGCTATGATTTGCTATTTGTCAAGTAACATTGCTTCACTCACTATCCCGGGTTTGTTTGTGTAAGCGTTCTGTTGCCGGCAAATCAAACATTCTGCAAATTAAGCAAATACTAAGTTATGTTTCTTTATATCTTTATTATGTTACAGATTAAGTCATTTGTTCATACTTACTTTGTTTGTCTTTTCAGTCTCATAAGGGTCAGGTGTGGGGAAACGCCCGCCTGGCATTTCCTCATTTTAAAGTCCTGATGATGTCACATATGACATCAGCAGGTCAAACCAAGTGGAGGGGTTTCTTTTTCCATAGAGATGCTTCCTTTTGTTTGTGTTAAGGTTTAAAGGGATTTGTTGAATGTTTTTCCTTTCGTTAATACTGCCATTTAGTTGTGTAAATGTGCATGTTAGAAGTGTGTAGAGGTTTTGTGTTTTTAGATAATCTGTGTAGAGTTTTAGATCCCTCAGTTGAGTGAGTGGTACTGGCTGGGCAATTGGAGGGAAATTGATGGCCCTATTTAAAGCCAGTCTCTACCAGATGCAGGAGAGAGGAGAGGTGAGTGGTGTCACCAGATCCATGGTGTGTTGAGGTTTGTTAATTGAATTGGGGGAAGTTTTGTTAAGTTATACATTAAGTTCACTGTAAATTGCTCACCTCTGGAAACCTGAAATGTCTGCATAGTCTGCTTCTCTAACCACCTTCCTTGACGTTCGTGCCTGACTACTTCACAGGCTCCCACTGATTCTGATTTGCATTACATGTTGTTCGTGCAAACTTTTAATATAAAAAGAAACGTTAAAATGGAAAAGGTTGATTTGAGATGCCACAGTGGGATGAGTCAGCACTTACAGTGACAGAATGGAGGGCAGAAAACACAGGTTGCTGGACCTCATGCATGCCTGTCTATCCCCATCATGCTCATGTGAACAGCAGGCGCTTTACAGGATGTGTCATGTCATTATTCACCACCAGGGGCCAATGAACGGAGAGTGGCAGAATGCTTTCTAAACAGTGTTTTCCCTTGTGCGAGGGAAAGACGAGAAGTGTGTGTGTGTGTGTGTTAACGTCTTTGTGCATTAGCCCGTGTTCGGGAGAGAGAGTGAAGGTAAGTAAATGAGCAAGAGAGAACGTCTGTGTAAGCGAGCACTCAACATGCCTCCGAGGTATTTTTAGAATGTTTTTTTTTTTTGTTTTGTTTTTTTGCTCTTTTTCCCCAACATCCTCTGCAGAGTTAGTTCTCCAGTCAGACAATATAATGGTCTGTCATGCATTTCTCAATCATGCACGTTGCGAAAGCCAGAGCGTCAACATTTATAGGACTCGGACTCCTAAGCAATGAGTCATTTTCAGTTGTCATGTTTGAAATCTAATTTTCATATTTATCAAGCATACACACATGCTGTGTTTTAAAAACTTATCCAGCAGTATCTGAAACTAAAAGGACACTCCATGCCTGTTTAGGAAACTTAACCAATTACCTTACAATCTGGCATGCTGGGTTTGGAGGGAAAGGGCATATTTGTCTTGGAGGTTTGATGTGCTGCACTCAAAGTGGGGATTTGTGTTTTGTCTATATCAGATTATATTCTTTCATCAAAGACAAAGTCACTTAAAAACATTAATATTCAGTTGAATTAGATGAGAGACTACAGGCAATGCTGGGAGCTCGGTAATAAATTAAATAAATTTTTAACTTTCTGAAAAAGGTCTGAAGCGATAATGTCAGTGCAGTTAATACGAACTCTTTGGAAGAGGAGGCCCTAATGGGACATTTGTCTACCATCATTTTTCAGACAGATTTTGTGCAACTGCTAAAGGGAGGCAGGGATAATTCATGGTCAATTCTGATTGGCTAATTTTCTTGACCTTCTAAGACATGTCGAAAGTTGTGAGGTTAGTGTGTTGGTGAATTTTTAATGACAGATTTTCAGGAACGTTAACAATAAAAATAATGATTGTTATGAAATCAAGTAATTTTCACACTGATTCCTATTGGTGAATTTATAGCAAAATATTGTGTTTTACAGTAGAAACACAGGCAAAATAACTTTATTATTCAAAGCCAGTAATTGCACCTTTACATCAACATTTTTAGTTTTATTCCAATTTATATTTACATTTTCACAAAAGGTTTTGTCCATACCTTGATATACTAATAGCAACAGTTTATTCCTAAAAGCAAAAAAGATGATTGTTTATGTTGTCAAATAAACAACCAAAATCCATCTGGAAAAACTTATTTTTAAATGGTTTATGAATTTGTGACCTTTTTTATTCAGTTTTTATTTGGGAGTTTAGATTTAGATTTCAGACTTCTTTTCTGCATGAAATGTAAGAATATACCTACAATCTTGTAATGTGAAAATAATTTTCTCTGCATCTCCCTTGAGTGCAAAACTTATTTTGTACTCTCTCCTCACTTTCCCTTCTCCCTTCCTAGATCCCTGTAATGACAGGAGCCTTCATGGACTCCTCGCCCAATGATGACTACAGCGGCGAGCACTCGCTCTTTAATTCCTCGGCCAGCGTCCATGCCGCTGCCTCAGCCGCCTCGGTACAAGGCCAGCAGGATGAGCCGCAGTCCATGTCCAGCGATGCCATCTGGCTCTGGATTGCCATCATCGCCACTATTGGAAACATTGTGGTGGTGGGCGTTGTCTATGCCTGCACTTTCTGATGAACACATGCTGACAAAGACAACCCGCACACTCACACATCCTGCTTTTTCTCAGTCTCCGGACCCCCGAAGGAGGCTTTGTAGACAATCTCTCGCTCTCTGTGTCTCTCGCTGTCTTTCTTTTTATCCCTCACACTTTTTGGCAGGGAAGGGGAGGGACAGACCTGAGGGTGTAAAAGTAGCGATACTTGACAGTGACATATACACTGCTATACTTCTTCGTTGAGGGGAAAGACTGAAATTTGGCAGCATTTATCAGCAACAAGCACTTTTGAATGCTACAGCTTGAGAACTTGAGAATAAGGTTATGTGCACAGCTACTCTTTAGTTAAAAACAGAAAGAAATCTTTGCTCTCAACCATTAATCAAAAACTTTTTTTTTTTTTTTTTAGCTTAAGTTTGTTTTCGTGTTTCTGCTCATACGACACTCACTTATTATGTAGGAGGGAGGATGGAGATTAAATGGGGCTTAAGATTCAGGTTGAACTGGGCCATCTGAAACAACCACCAGATAGTTGCTAAGCAATTTAGGACAAAGCAGCTTAATTATGCCACTGAACAGAGATGGTGCTTGTTAAAATATTTAGAAAGTGTTAAAATATCTGCAAGATAAGCAGCACTGAGATTCTCCTATATGCTGATGAAACGGAACATATGGTTATAATGATCATTAGTGTATTTGGTGTCTTTCTAAGGTGAAAGAACAGGAAACTGCATTCATGAAAGACACTTAAATTGACTGTTACAGCAGTGGCATGTCAATTACACAAGAGTAATTTTTCTAGACATCACCCCATGGAAGTGCATGTGCAGATGTCCAGCAGAGTCAGATCAAAACCAGCCAGTTCCCCAGTACACTCTCACAAGAGCTTGATGTATAGCACCTCTGAGAATAGAGGAGCTAACTGACCTGTGAATTCACAGCGAGTGAGTGGGCATGATTTGTCTGCTTTTTGCATGCTCTATCCTGATAACTCTCCTTACCCAAAATAAACTGGGTATTTCCATTTGTGAGAATGCATCTGAACTTGACCATCTCATATTATCCTTTATGTGTGAGAAAGGCATCTGGTTAGTGCGCTGACCAGATTCTCATAATAGTGAGTTAGGAGTAATGACTTGTTGTCGTCATGCCCTTAATGTCAAATTCCTTCAGTAAAAGTGGCTATTACAAAATCTAATCATATTGTCATAGTCTGCTTAGATAGGACTAGATAGATGTGAACAAAATGTAATTAGAAGCACAAATCAAATTAAACACACACAGCTTTTTTCCCCTGCTCAACCTTTTCCATAGTTGCTTTTTCACCTGTAAGCGATGTATTTCATCACCCAGCAGCAGAAGGTGGAAGTTTCTGATATTACAGTTGTACTGTATGTAAAAACAGTAAATGTATGTATCCCGAAATGATGTAACACTAAGCAGAACTGTGGTAAACCTTGTTATAAATATGTTCAGCTATGTATGAAATCTCATATATAGTTGTCCTTTAAAATTTTCACTACTGGAGGTCATTTGTTCTGTGTTAGTGTGGATGGTAGTGCCAGCTTTTCAGTGGCAAGTAGTTCTTGTCCTAAAGGGGTTACAGTAACTTTACCTTAAGACCCAAAGATACAAATTGGTTTTCACATGAAACATACCATACGATGCACTGCACTTACACTGAAAATGTAGCTAGTAGGCTTTGATCTGCTAATTGATGTTTGTGCTTTGGTTAAATGTCCCTTACAAGCTGCAATAGAAAATTATACAAATATGGGCCTACTAAAGTCGGCAAGTTGTTTTATCTGTCAACTGTTCTATTTTTTTAGTATGATAAACTGACTGTTTTCCATAAGCCTTGATTATACTCCTTTGTGGATATGAACACAGACAGCTGGAGACAGTACAGCCGAATAGTCATTCTTGTTATACTTATCTGAAGTTTGCCGCCTGGGGCGCGTGCGTAGTTGGTGTATTGTAATGTAAAGTCTCCAAATTAGTCTGTGTGGGTCACAAAACATGGCAGGCATGTGGATAGCCACATGAATCCTCAACCTCACTGTCTGCTGAAAAATTTGACATCATTTAGACCCAAGTGGACCCACGTTGAAAGTATAATCAAGGCCTTAGAGGGTTGATAGCTCTTTGCTCAGACAAGTAAGTCATGTTTTCCTGGGATTTAGACATTACCAGTATATAATCAAGTCTTGTAAACACCATAACTGTTCAAATGTTCATACACTAGAAAGAAAAAACTGGCTTACTGTATGTATTGTACTATGTAAAGTAAACTTTAGACACTCAATTACTATAAGAGGACTTTTCAAGCCTGTTATTTTTAATAAAGTGTTGATGTAGAAATATTTAGAAATGTTGTAAACCACATACACAATGCTCCTTTTGTAAAGACATATGCTACTATTAAAATTTATGTACTAATGCAAAATTGGCTTTCTGTATTGACTTAAGAAGCACACACTTATATTTACTGAAATATCACAAAGATGGATTAAAATGCAAAATATGTGGCTTTGTACGCCGATTGCAGAAACAAGAATTTGTTTCAGTTTCATCTTCAGCTGAATCACCTGGTTTTGTTCTTAGTGAAGCCAGTTCTCTGGCAGACATCAGTGCTGTTTGCTGCTTAGCCATCAGGTGAGATTGATTCTAAGCTCAAATCACACCATCTGTCATTTTGACACAAGCACCACTTGTTTAAAAATTACCTGGATTTTGTTCTCTGCAGCACTTAGCTACTCTGACTCTCTAAACTCATACTTGTTTTGCTGAACAAACAGGAAGGCTGCAAAAACCAAGCACTTTAAAAAACATGAATGGGTGTAGAAAGTGCATCTGTATCCTGCTAAATAAGTAACAGAGATATCAGTGTATTTTCAGCAAATCAATGCAACAACAGATAGATGAGAAACATTTGACCTAGATGTATTTTGAGATGTACAGACATGGTTGCTATCATGAATAGTCATCAAACAAATAGACAAAACTAAAACAATGTGATTTTTTGTTTGTTTTTTTTATAGAGAAGAGTCACTTTAGCTCGATTAATAGTTAAGTGACTTAACTAATGTACAGTCATGTGGAAAAAGTACCTTTTTAGTTTAAAGGTTTTATGTATCAGGAATAAAATAAAAAATAAAAACATATGGTCATCTCACCCTTCTGTAATTAGTAAAATTTAACCTCAGATGAGTGAAACATTAGCCTAACTAAGCCTAAACGCAGCAGCGTGAGGGGAAAAGTAAGCACATCCCATGACCCAGCTTGTAGAATCACCTTTAGCAGCAATAACTTGAAGTAATTGTTTTCTGATTTTATCAGTGTCTCTATTTGATGTGAAGGAATTGTGGCCCACTCTTCTTTGTAACGTTGCTTCACTTCAGTCAGGTTAACGACTGGTTGTTGACTGGGCCATTCCAACGCTTTGATTCTTTTCTTTCAAAGCCATTCTGTTGTAGATCTGCTCCTTTGCTTTTTACCAAAGTCCTGTAGCATGATGGCTGATGGATTTAGCTGATACGTATCCTCGTCTCATAAGGAAGCAGTAAGGTTGTACTTTTTTTCTGCACGTTGGTTCAGTTTTTGTTAAATACTTAATAACATTTTGTAATAAGTTGTTTATCTGAGGTTGTATTTTCCTTATTTTAAAGTAGAAGCAAGAACTTCTACAATTATGTTTGATATATAAAACTTTAGAACCGAAAGGTGTTTTTTAGAACATTTTTTAATCCCAGAATAATTTATTTGCAGAGGTTTGAGATTAAACAAACAGCCATCCTGATGTCAAAAGCACTGAGGGATCACATTCATAATTTCATGTAAATGCAGTGATCTTTACCTCATCCTAAGAACTGAGTAAGTCCTTTCCCAGTTGAAATGCCAGCCAGACTTGGTAATATGTGGATCAGCTCCTTTCAGATTTGCCTTGAGCATTTCTGATCCCCCACCAGCAGATGAGATACAGATGGAAGCAAAACTGAATGCACATGATCTTCGAACAACCTTCACATTGCTTCCGCAGCGTTGCGCCTTCTATCCTCCAAATCCGATCAAACGACTCAGTTGGGGGGAAAAAATCCCTAGGGTCTCACAACAGCCGCTGACTCCTAGAGGGAAGTAAGGCCAGTTTTATTTATAAAGCCCCAAATCACAAATCACAAACATGCCTCAGAAGGCTTTTCACAGCAGCCGGCGTCCTCTATTCTTAACTCCATCAAAGAAAATAAATAACTATTGACCTTGCCTGGGATAATTTATGCTAATGTGGGGTAATCATTACACTTTTAGGTGATGGCTTTGTGAAATGCACATTACATTAGTTGAGACTTCAGCTCTCATACGGAGAAAGTGAAATGACACTGACTTTGCCTGTGAATAATAAATGTTTATTTCAACCTAGCTGGAAAAAAAATGTTGTGAAGTAGTATGTGGGGAGAGGCTGTCTCACTCCTCCACTGTTGGCCCAGAGTCTCACAGGATGTAACGCTTCAGCTCGAATCGCATCCAGTTGAGAGTGAAAGGTTGGTGACGAGTTGCTGGATATGCTAATGTATGCCAAGCTGCTTAGACACATCTTATCAAACTGTCACTTTAGAGACACATGGGGACACACAGTACACTGTAATAGTAATTAAATACCAAATATAAACAAAGACAATGTCTGCAGCTTTCTGCCACTATAGTACTTTTTTTCTTCTTAAACAAAAGTTACTGGGCATTTCCATAAATCACATTTAATGCATAGTTAGAGAAATGTAAAAACATCTGCAAATTTGGAAATTTTCCTTCATTTTAAAATGATACATTGTATCAGAACATTTTACCTGTCTCAACAAAGAGGAAACGTTATCATCTGTGGTCTTATAAAAACCTCATAACAGCAAATTGTTATGTGTGAGAAAGCATTGCAACTCCAAGAGCAGAGGCAAGGCAAGATACCTGGCAGAGCTTGCTAGTGTTTGTATGTATGTGGGCGTTTGAAGGAGATCAGGTTTGTTACAGGCAATCAAATACATCTGTGTTTTAAGAAGATGCACAATTGCATGACAGTTATAAGGATCCTATGTAACCAGATTAAGGTCTGACCATATTCATATTCATCTAGGTGAGATTGTGCCAGAACAACTAAATAATTATAGTCTACAGGGTGGGCCATTTATATGGATACACCGTAATAACATGGGAAAGTTACGTTGAAACCAAGCACACCATTGTTTTTCTTGTGACATTTCCAATAAGTTTGATGTGTCACATGGCCCTCTTCCTATTGAAAAAACAAAAGTTGTATCCAAGATGGCCGACTTCTAAATGACCACCATGGTCACCACCCATCTTGAGAGTTTGCCCCCTCACATATACTAATGTGCCACAAACAGGACTTTAATATCACCAACCATTCCCATTTTATTATGGTGTATCCATATAAATGGCCCACCCTGTATTTATATACTGTGTAAAAAAACAACAAAAAAACCCCAAAACGCTTTAATTATTTTATTGATCGACTGTTTTGATTTATTCCAGGTCTGCACTTGGGCCATCGTGGCTCAAGAGTTGGGAGTTCGCCTTGTAATCGAAAGGTTGCCGGTTCGAGCCCTGGCTTGGACAGTCACGGTCGTTGTGTCCTTGGGCAAGACACTTCACCCGTTACCTACTGGTGGTGGTCAGAGGGCCCGGTGGCGCCAGCCGGCAGCCTCGCCTCTGTCAGTGCCCCCCAGGGTTGCTGTGGCTACAGTGTAGCTTGCCATCACCAGTGTGTGAATGTGTGTGTGAATGGGTGGATGACTGGATATGTAAAGCGCTTTGGGGTCCTTAGGGACTAGAAAAGTGCTATACAAATACAGGCCATTTGCACTGGTATATGCTGCCACTCGCTTTACTTCATTGTAAAAAAGTTGGCAGTGCCACTGACTGACTGAATCTTGTTTTTCCTTCAGGGCTTATGTAGTCCTGCGAGCAACATTTAGCACTACAAACCTGAATACTCCACTCACTGCCCCCAGTGTTCTCATACATGCATAACTGTAGCTCATACACTGAAGAATCCTGAAAAACTCGGGAGCCCCAAGGCTCGAAACATTCATTCATTTACATTCTCAAATGGTAAGTAGACCGTGCTTGTTAGTTGGTTAGCATCATGCGTCCTAATACTTTCCACTGTTGCTCATGTTTGGCAAGAAAACTGTTTGTGCATTACGTATTTTGTTTTGATTAGATTTATTTTCAGGGTATTATTTTATGATATAGCATACAATAGTATTTCTGTTCCACTCCATCACCTGTCCACAGGCTTAATCATTTGGAAACATAATGATGTTTTACTCCCCAAGTTGAAAAAAAAAGTGTCTGTTTGTTACAGTGATGTTGTCAGCACCGT